GTTCTGCCCAAAATTGCATTTGAAAGTGGCAGAATGTAAACTTTACCAATATACTTACTTATGCTTATCTTCAGGAAAGTAAAACCTGCTAATTTTCTCCAGGTTGTACAGTGGCAGCTGTATGGCACTCAGATTAACTCCCATCCAAAAAACAATCATTTGAGCCAGAAGATGGAGTTTCACGGGGGTGCTATCTGACTGCCATTGCACATTGGGAGAACAGTCAGACACTCTTATTCACGAGTTCATTTTCCATGGTTTTTGTTACTCGTGGATACTATTTCAAGGAATGTTTGTGCTCTTCTCATGTCCTCCAGCACAATTATATGGTCTGTTTTGTTGGAGGTTGGCCTCTACCTCCTTTCTCTTGTGAAAGTATCTCCTGAGGAAGCAATGAGATGCAAGTTCGGAGTAAATCAGTTCTCCCACTCTCCATAAGGCTTTAGGTTTGGGGTGGGGGCTTTACAGCTATAGAAAGTGAAAATATATAGGCTCAGCACTATCTGTAGGTTTAGGTATCTATTGGGGGTTTCAGAATGTCTCACCTGCAATAAGGATGTCTCACTGTATTTTTGATGGCATACAGCTTGTCTATTTTAATGCCAAGAGAAGTCCAACCTTTATCTTCACAGTTAGTATCATGTGCTTTTCTTTTGTTAATACAGGTTTGGGACACCCTGCATCGGCTCTTTGGATGGTGCAGGAATCTGAACATTCCTTCCAGCCAACTTTCTCATGTGAAGTCTTCATATGCTTCTCCATTTTTTTCCACAAAAGATATAGCTTTGGGGATCTAGCTTTGTCAAAATAATGTATTCCACCCTGTGATAACTTAAGCACCAGCATCATAAAATTAAAACATAAAACCAGCTCTGTGGTGGACTGATACCTTAACGACTTTAAATAACTTTCAATAAGATGGCTCAGGTCCAGGCTCTTTGGCTGACCATATCTCCTTGTACAAACCTGCATGGGTGTTGAGAGGCCCTTCTTTTGTTCCCATCTCAATCTTGGTTGGTGGGAACAAGAGAACAGGCCTTCCTTTTTGGTGGCTGCCCCTCGACTCTGGAACTCCCTGCCCAAGGAAGCCGGAATGGCCTTCTCCCTGCTGTCCTTCTGGTGGCAAGTTAAAACCTTCTTGTTCAGGCTTTCGAAGGCTACTAGAGCCCTTTTATTCACGCAGTCTTTTTAAAAAGTTGGCTGCTGTGGTTTTTAGTTTTGAATATGTTTTTATGAATTGTTACTGATTTTTCAAATACCAATGATGTTTAATTATGTTTTAATGTTTGTATATTTGTAGATTTTAAATATACAAGCATTTCTGTCTTGCTTGTAACTTTTTTTGTAGAAATGCTCTGATCTTCTGTGCAAACTTTATGTTCTATAGCACTTTTCATCAGGTTTATTGCCCCTATTTAATATCCTTAATATCATTAATGGCTTGTTCTGCCCACCTGCATTATTCCTGGATCAAGGAGTGCCTGAGTAGGCCAATCACATGTAATACAGAGATATATAAGAATTGTTATTCCCACTGAAAGACTTATGGGAAATACGACCAGATTTGTGAATAATGCAACCACTGGTGAGACTCCTTTATCTGGGCACAGGCAGGATCAATGCCAAACACTGATCCTGCAAAACTGAGCATATAGTTCTGAGCTATGGCTCCTCATTGCTGTGTTCTGTTTCATTTGCTCCCCTTAAGTCTGCTGTGTCCACCTCTTTTACAGCTAACTTTCACTTGCAAGATTTGGCTTTCTATATGAGACAGCAACATAGACAATCCTTCTTTCAAAGCCAAGAGTGTATTCTGTGATCCACTTGCCCAATTGTTAGAGCCATAAATACATTACCAGATGCCACTAGTGCAAATGGCTTGGCAGATTCCTTCCTAATAGCCTTTCGCTGCACCTTCTCTTTTTTAATGGTTAGTGTAAGCTTTTGTCTTCAACAAAGGAACACTTAACTACCTGATACATTTCAATGATGGATGGCCCTTGGTGGTGTCTGAGAGCTACAAAAGACGTTGCCTCTTGGAATGCAGTTGCAAGATAAAGTTATTCCTTCTACAACTATTTGAACTATGCACTTGTTAATGAAATGGCTGGAGAAGTGGCACATTTCACACCTCTCAAATGTAACTGTTTAGGTGCTAGACATAGGAATAAATAAGTAATTACACACATTATATTTTCTAAAGATCCTTTCAGAATATTCAGAAGAATGAAGTCTGAGCTATTTCCCTTTTTGGTGAGATAATTCTACTCTTTTCAACAAATTAAAAATGTCTTTCAATGCACTTATGAAGGAGATTATTCCAAGAAAAGAAATTTCTTTTATCTAACCACAACATTAAATCCATAGTATAAGAATGTTCTACTGAAATCTATGGGAATCTGTGCCAAGTAAAGTATTCAGGACTTGAGCATGAGTCAAATTCCAGTGAACCGCATTCTCTGCAAAGATACTGTTCCCTGTTGTTGTTGTTGCTGTTGTTGTTTGGCACAACACATAATGCACAGACTTGATATTTACTCAGTATTCTGAGCTGGAGAGGGGCCAACATAGATCAGGGAGGTCAAAGGTCAAATCTCTGACATTAAGTTCACTTGTCTCTGTTCTTACCATGGCTTTTGCAGAAAATAGGGAGTTTGTAGAGAGAACAAATGTGCCACTTCTGATCTCTGGGTGACACTGATCAAATGTGAATATCCATGCTGATGCTACCAAGAGTCACAATATTTTTTCAACTTTTAGCCACATTGGATAATTAAAATTAAATGGCATCCATGTACTTTTCTTATTACGTGTCGCCAACTAGCCGAATAGACACAAGATCCACGATTAACACAGACAAATAGTGCAATACTTTACATATTTGCTGAAAAGTAAGGCCTACTGAATTCTGTGGGATATATTCTAAACTACATGGGGCTATAGCCTAAACAGCCCCTAATTTGGCTTCCTACTCCAAGGAAGTTATTGCATCTTCCTGCCTTTTTTTATCCTTCCTGCATCTATTGTCTGAAATGGAGTGACCAACATGATCCAAGTGTGTACAATGCCATTACAATGGTGACATTCCTTTATCGGTACTTTCTGTTTTCTTATATTTTTTCAGAACTTTCTGCTTTCAATCTTGAAGCCAAACCATAACATTTCTGCACATTTTTCGTCTGCTTCAACTTTGACCACATTCAAAATATGGTACGTTGTTATCAACCAGAAATGTGGCCAATCAGACAACGATGATTGATGAACTAAGCAAAATACTCTGAAACCACCAAATCTACCTGATTGTGAAAGCTGTGCATGGTCAGTTCTAGTTATGACTTGGATGGGAAACCACTAATGAATACCAAATGTGATAGGTTGTGTTTCAGTGGAAGGTACCAGCAAATCACCTCAGAGTACCTTAGGAAAACATATCAAAATATTCAGGTTGCTGTATGCTTACAAGTAATTTGAAAGCACATATACACCTCTATTGCTTTTTGTGAAGATCCTCCATGTTGCCTCCTATACAGTGACTTCAACTTGCTAGTAGCCTGTAAAATGAGATGTCCCATTTTTCTAAGACTGCTATTAAAGTTTAGCAGCTACTAGCAGGAGAATTTGCAAAAAAAATAAAAAAATAATTGAAAGTCTCTATCCAGAGGGCTATAAACACAAGTAAGATATAAAGGTTTGTGAGGCAGGACTTGCATTCTGAAACCATATTGATTCATCTCCAGTAAGTCTTGTTCTTCTGTATGCTTAATAGATATATACCTCCCACTAATTCAGATAGAACATAAGTCGCTTTAAGTAGCCTACAGAAACAGGGCTGTGTTGGAAGCATGTTTGTTTAATCTTTTTTCTCACACCATTTCTGCCATCAGCTATCTGAGGCACTGGAGGAAGGCACTTTTCATTAGGGTAGTGCCATATTTCAGAGGGAGATCTGAGAACACGGCAAAACTACCTCTGAGTATTCCTTGCTTACAAAACCACCCTACTTTGGCAGCCGACTGTTAAGTGTATACACTCAGTGTCATAAAATGTCACTCTGCATTTAAGTTAACAAAGAAAGAACCAGGAAATCTAAACAGACTAGCTACATAATGTGAGTTCTTCTACATTTGTCACCAGAGGACAGTTTTATATCCTCACTAAAGAACTATGAGATTCATAGGGTTGCTGGTTGCAGCAAGTCAGCCCCACATGCAAATAACTAAAATCATTCCTGCTTCCTGTCCTTACACCAGAATGCTCATAAACCTTCTTGCTAGCATCTCAAGTATTTTTTTCTAATTCCTCACAATGGCCAGCTCTATCCTTGTGCAAAAAAATCCAATAAACACTGCTCTTTCTACCAAGCCTGCTCAGATCAGCTACTTATTGCCACCTCTCCTACTTCTGATGATAGTCTTTTCTAATCTTGTATCCAGATGGTGTTTGCTACTTCTTTCAGCATCTTCTGATAGCATAGCCATTGCAGGCTGAGGATGTTGGGAGCCAAACCTCAATAAATATGAAGACCCCACATTGGGGGGGGGGGGGAGAGTTGACACACATTTTTATCTTTTATAGCACAGGCACTGAAATTATGAGCTCTATATGAAGTAACCATATTTTAACTAATATCAGTCACTTGTAAGGGCAGCTTGCAGTATCGGGGATACAGGGAGTACATATAGTGTCCGCAAGTTCAGGGCCAAGAGTTGAGGCCAACTCATTTCATAGTCCAGTCACTGAAGAGAGGGCTTGTGTAGCAAACTAGGTCAAGCAAGTTGTAATTGATGTGGTAGTTTGGGGGAAGGGGGAGAGAAGAATTTTCTTTGGGAAACCGTCAAATAATGACAAGAGCAATATGCCTTATTGAAGAGAATGGGGAGAATAGAGGGACTACAGGACTTTTAAATAAGAATTCCTTTTTAGAACCTCTGAGATTGTAGTTAAAATACAAAAGTCTCCCCACTCTTTAACACAAAAAAGACAGACCGTTATTTTACACCTGGGTTCATAATCATAACATTTATTGAGCCTGCAATAAAATCTGAGCAGAGATACTCTGTTCTCAGCCAATGCATTGTCTGGAATGCAGTTCACCTACTCAAAAAACAACAACAACAACATCACAAACATCTCAATATAAAAAGATTACAGTGGTATCAGTCAGGCTTAAAAATACTTAATCCCATGAGTTTGCATTTCGATGCCTGTAGACCTCCTTTGCAAATAAATGACACTTCTCAAAGAAAGCTGATAAAAACTTCCAAGTCTATGTTGAGTGAGTAATGCTGACTAATGGGTGACAAGGACACAGAATTTGAATTTTGAAGGGAGATCTGAGAACATAAGTAGTGTCTCTGAATATGAGGAGATTTAGCCTTAACAAGAAACTTTCACTGACCTTCCCCCCACCCACAAGCTTGGAAATCTTCCATGCACATTGATTTCTCAAAAATATCCATTAGACCGGTAGCACACATATCTTTTGAACCCTTAATATCTAGATGTATGGGATGGGAAGGATGGGAGATATAAAGCCACATAAACACACATTTACAGAATAGAAAAAGGAAATTAGTAACAGTGTAATTAACACAGGCGTTTGCAAATGAACAACAACAAAACCCCTGCCTTAAGATCTTGGGGGCGGGGGAGGTTTAATTACATTTCATTTAACAAAATCCTTTTAAGTATCCATCTGCTTTTGTTTTGCAAACTGAGACACAGCCAGCTGACAAAATAAGGATGATTCTCAGTTTTAAACCATAGTCATCACTTTCAGAGAAGCCGGCTGAAACCTCCTAATCTTCTTCTTGAGGGCCTTTGAAGCTTTGATGCGGCAAAGTTTGGGCACAGATGGAAGCGGCTGGGAGGAAGTCTGAGGAGATGTGGGATGCCTGACAGAAGTATCAGGCCAAATCAGTTCATGCTCCTCTATCTCCTCTTCCTCGTAGTCAAGAGTCAGACTGCTGCCTTCAGAGTCACTTTCACTGGACTCACTATCCCCAAAGCGGTTGGCTGTATAGTCACTGACCTCTCCCTCACTGGTCTCGGCAATGGTGGAGTGGAAAAGGGATGCACATTCAGCAGAGTACTCTGAATGGTCAGACTCACTTTTGGCATATGTTCCAGGACGAAAGGGGTGGCGGCTCTTTGAACGTGCCCTCATGGTTACAGCACGCATGATTCCTGCTCTCCTTCCTTGTGGTCTTGGTGTACCTAAGGCAAAGCTGCTAGACAGACTAGCAACCTGGGCTTTAGCTGAGATTTCCACTGTGGACTGCCATTTGCGGTGCTTTTTCTTGGTAGCTGCATCTATATAAGCTGCTTCAAGAGAATACATGGTATTGGCAGAGGTCTGGTACAGTCCAGGCCCAGAGGGTCCTTGGGGAAGCCTGAATGGCACAGGGTATAGGCTGGACTCTGAGCAAGACCGACCTGCAGTTTCGCCAGAAAAGGTAGGCCTCCGAATGAGGTTCCTTTCTCTCACCTGTCTCTGAGACAGACTCCACTCCACAGGCAGTTTGGCAGCAGGGTGGGGAAGCCCCCTTGGTTTCTCTGAATAAAATGTCTGTTTTCCTGGCCTCGGTGCCTTTTCACTGTTCCTCCTCTTTACCTTCACGGGCTTCATTTTAGAGTTAGCAAATCTCACCCTTACTTGATGGGACTCTGCGGGGACAAACTTGGCATGAACAAATCCTCCCTGAGGCATGAGATCGTGACCTCCTGCTTTTATGGCACTGACACACTTCTTGTGAGATTTGTTGGCTGGAGTCACATGAGAGTTGGTGGGGCTCAAGCCAGAATCCTCTGTTCCGAGCTGGGAGCTGGAAGAGCTACGTTCCAGGCTGCTTTCCACAATTTCTGTCACGGGAGAGTCCCTCACAGATGACTTGGCAGATTGAGAAGTATTCACAGCCAAGGAAGACTCGGCATGACCCATGGTGGCTGTCTGCTCTACATTCACACAGTCCAGAGTCTCCTGCTGTTTGGCACATTCCCCCTCAGGCATCTCCCTCTGCAGTTTCCTCTCTGCTTTGTTTCTATGTGGTGAGCTCTCTTGTTTTTCCAGCTGGCTGCCACTGCTGTTAATTTTCACTCCACCGGCACTGGGGATTATAATGAGTCTCTGGAGCATTGTGAATGGCTGGCTCTTTGTTGGACACCTCTCACTGGCGTCCGCCTGATTGTTTCCTCTGCAGCGTGTCAGCTGAAGCAGTTTGTTGATGTAACCCCCTGGCCTGGACTCTCTGGCTGGTCGAGTCCTAATCAAACTGGGCCCAACAGCATTAGGTGCAACTTTGTTAGCCAACAGATAGCCTTCAGTTTCAGATGGTGGCCCCATCAGGGAAAAAAGGGGACTCTGTAAAGCCACAGCATGAAGGGGGCTGGGGTAAATATACACATCATTCCCACTCTTAGAGATCAGGTCACTCTGGTATTTAGGGTCCACAGAATAGATCTGATTATCTTCTCCTGGACAAAGCAGATGAGCAAATTTGGGGTCAGTTGCTTTTGGAAATCCCCCATCTCCAATGGTAAGTTTTTCAAGGTCACCTAATTAAACAACAAGGTTAAGAAAAAAGTCATGGTCAGCATAAGAGTATCAGATTTTATTATGACCGCATATCTTTTTTTCTCTGGCCCCTTTTTCTGGACACTTGGTAGGAGGTGATCAATTATTTTTTGTAATAAGCTTTAATAGGTGATATAGTGTTAATTTTTATTTCATTTATCTCTCTGTTCATCATGATTGGCTAAAATACATGAACCATGCTGTTGGTTCACCTCTTAACATCAAGCACTAATATCTGCATTGGGAAAATGGACCTGTATTTATTGTATACTCATTTATAAAGTTATTTCCATAATCTATCAGTTCTAGTAACAACCTGAATTTCGGAAACATGAATCAGTGGGTTGAAGAAAGTTGATGGACCCATGAAGGCATCAACAAAGAGACACTTGAGGACAGAGACAGGAAATACACAATGTGAGAAACAGGGTCAGCAGCACATTCCTATTGCCCTTCCTATGCATACATGTGAAATGGGGTTTATTAAAAAGTACACAGTTTGAATTACCTTCTCCACTTCTGATCTAGATGGGAAAATTAAGGGATAATTCTGGTATTAACTGAATCAGAGGTATGCAAAATATCACCAGATACAGCCCCAGGGATTTTTTTTAACAAGGGCTTTAGACTTCTCTGCCAAAGACTACTGGTGTCCCACCAAACAACCCATGATTCTATAGCACTGAACTCTGACAGTGAAATTGTATTAATTCTACAGTGTAAGTGCACTTTTAGATGCACCTACACTGTAGAATTGTAGAGGGAAGCTTTATCACTTGCTCTCTGTATGGCCATCTGTTGGGGGTGCTTTGATTGTGCTTTGCTTGCATGGCAAAGGGCTGGACTGGGAGGGGCACGTGATCTCTTCTAACTCTATGATTCCATAACCTTTATCATTTTTGAGTGTTATTTGGGGGAAGGGGCAATTTTTATTGTTTTCCTGAGACGGATGCCAAGCAGAGACCCAACAAGGCATTTCTCCATCAATGCACTCTAGTAATAAAACAGACTGAAAAACTCCACTTTCTCTCTGCCATACAGCTGTAAATGATTAAGAGTTTCCTGTCATATCACCTTTACTGGAATACGTTGTATTGCAAATGATTAGTCCATTTACACTCTTTAACACTTGTCACACTGCTTCCCCTCCTTTCATCTTGTAATTTAATCCCATTTTACCAAATTTATTATTTAATCAAGTTTTATTGTGTTTTAATTTATTTTAGTTAACTATTACAGGAGTTTTATTTATTTATTTATTTATTTGTGACATTTCTACCCCGCTTTTCTCAACCCCGAATGGGACTCAAGGCGGCTTAACAACACAGGCAACTATTAAATGCTATTAAAAACAATCTAAATTAAAATAAACATTTAAAATACATCAAATACATCAAAACATTTAAAAACATTTAAACCAATATCACCACTGTTAAATCACACTATTCATAATTGTTTATGAAGTCTTAGATCAGTGATTAATGTCTATTTGTCTGTATATTTTTGTCTTTTATTGTTGATATTGTCAGTGGACTAATTTATAAACAGATCTACCTACCTACCTGCCTATCTATCCATTTATGTTTTCAGAGCTGGAAACAATCAATCAAAATACACCTTGAATGCATTGGCTCTTTATACAATTGGCTAAATAAGTCTGGCTATGCGATGTTTTACCTGTAGAAACAGGTCTTGGCCTGGACTTGGTAGGAGATCCTAAAACATCAGGGCAAGCTTTGATTCGGCATCCATCGTTAGTATAGGCTCCCTGCTGTTGGAACTGGTTGTGTACTGTGGTTTCATCTGCAGATTTGGGACGGTAATCAATGATGCTGAGACGAGTTTTGGGATGCTGAGAAGGATTTGTCAATAGACTGGCATGGGAGGAAGAGATGGATTCACTGAAGACTGATGTACATGAATTGGATAAAGAACAGGAGCCAGCATCACTGAGTTCATAAAAACCTGCAAGATTAAGAGAAGACAAACCTTTGATTGCAGAGAACAAATGCATGATACAGAACCTAAGTGGAACCTCCCCATATTAACTATTTCATGGAATTGTCATTTTGAGGAAAACTGAGACAGAGAGCATTACAATGAAGTATTTCACCTATTACATGTTTCTTAAGACTAAACCAACAATAACCCACAAAACAATGCAATAAACCCTCTACTCGCAAATATATCAATTGCTCATAAGACAGAATTTTTTTTCACAATAATCTAATTTTGTCCCTGCTGATTGCAACTAGGAAGGAAATTGCAAGATTCTGGAAAACAAATGAGAACATACAATTTGATAGGTTTTATCAAGTATTTGTTTCAATAATAATAATAATAATAATAATTATCATCATCTTTATTTCTAGACTGCACCTCTCTCCCAAAAGAGACTTAGGGCTGTTTACAATACAATAACAAGCAAACACGCAAAGCCTTGCACAGTAACAAACAACATCAGGAATAATACAAAATAATACAGAATAATAACAGGAAACTTATTTACTGTTACGTAGTAACTAGGTAGTAATAAATCAACATAAAACAAAAATAATAACTATGACATTAAGAGTGTATCACAACAGGGATTAATTTAGAAGTTATAAGCAATTATCTCATTTCTGTATTGTTAAGACTACAGCTTCAATCATCCCTTACAGGGGTGATGGGAATGTCATGCCAAATAGATCTGCAAAGATACAATTGTTTATCCAAGAGCAAGAAAACTTTGACTAACTGTGGTTTGTACTATTCATGCTTTCCCCCTCCACATACAACACAATGAAATACCAATATTAAAAAAAGAAGAAAATTCCCCAGTTACCTGAACTAGGTCTGCTGTCACTGTCAAGATACTCAATGGATGTCTTGCCTACATCCAGCTTCAGTTCACTAATTTGTTGGTCCAGCTGATCCAAATGGCTTTTCAGTCCAACATCTTGCCTCCTCAGACGTGACTATAACCAACAGGGAGGAAAAGAGACAATTTCAGACAGGGTTTAGTCTAAGCTTTCCTGAAACTTTTCATTTACAGGAAAGGCCTATATAAATATATAAAATAGAGACATATAACTGATAGTGTAGCTTTTTTCTGTTTCTGCTTTCCATCTATCAAGGAATGTGATTGTTTCATGTAAGTACAAAAAGAGTTCTGGACACATTTTTGTATTTTTTTAAAATGGGGATCACCCACTGTTTGTTTATTTCTGCATCTTATCTGCCTTGGGAGCATTTCAGAAACTACCTGAACACTCACTGTCTAAGAGAGCCCAATTCTTAAGATTTAAACCAATGCTCTCTGTAAAAGTCAACACGATTGTCCTTAAATTGTAGTTCCTAGGTTTGATTACAACATCTTGGATGCTTGGGATGCTTGCATTTTTTTTGGCTGGGTGTTTATATTGCTAATGTTTGTTGATGTTATTAACTCCTCTTGTTTATTGTTATTTGGATTTTATATTGTGCAGATTTTTATCATATTAGTTGCCTTGGGATATTTTTATTTCTTGGAGACAAACTGTAAATGACACCACCTAAACAACTTTAAATCTCTGTAACATCTTTCCACATTCCACCTTTAAAAATATATGCTGGAAAATAGATTTTACAGTTTCTCTAAATCCATGTTACTTGTTCTAACTGATGAGGGAAAGCAACATTTGTTTTCTAACAAGCCATGGAATGGGTATCATATTTGAGCTCATTGCCTGCAAATGTTTCTTTCTTTTGCAAACTTTTTTGAGGACAGGTAGCTGATGGCTCATGAAGTGGAATATGTCCATGGACAAACACTCTGCCCTAAATGATGAATTCCAAAAACAGATCTAGATCCAAAGAATCTGACCACTAGCCTTTTCATGTTCTGAAGCCAGACCTGGAGCCTACAGGGTATAATGTTGCTATCACTCCAAATAGCACCCCCATTTCATTCTATAACACAAGCTAAACAAAATAGTTGATCAATGTGATCATCATCTTCAATTACCCATCCCCTAGGCAGCTGCACATAACTGTCTTGATTGGAAACCCAAGGAAACAACGATTGCAGAAGCCAATAAAGATAAGAAAGAGTCGTTCTTTCATCCACATTCAACAACACCTCAAAATTTGCCCTGAGGCTTCTCTGCAGAAAGCCTCAGGACCTTTTCTTCTTCACCAGAAACGCAGTCTACTTTGGGGAAATCACCAAAAACACCTGAGAGTTTAGGCAAAAGCATACTCTATTGCAATTAGGGTAGGAGAAAGTGAGCCACGATTCAGTAAATGCCTTAAAAGCACAAGACTTAACCAAAAAACCTTCTGTCTATCTTACTAATAAATCTACTTATTCTGCATTTCTGGATTACGTTCTTTTTTCTTATCATAATACTTTTCAATATCCCAGAAATATGTAGCTAAAAGCTTTTATGATTTCATGATAGTTGGCAGACTCATGAAGTTTTGGGGACCAAATAACTTTATATCCCATTATGCTAGCTTAATAAATAAACACACCACGTCTGTCTAGTCTGTTTGTTCACTTATTAGGTCCTTAGAAACATTAATTTATTTTCAAGGGTGACACCTTAAGAAAGTCTTCTTTTCTCATAGTACATTCGAAATGGGGAGGGGGGATCTTGAATTATCTTTCAGAAAGTAAAATGATTATAAGTGTTTTCTCTGTAATGAGCATACTTTTGTGTCAAAGAGACTGAGTCCTATGTTTCTCATGAACACACATTTCTACCATTTCAGTTCCTTTTTCACAGATTAACTTTCTCTGCAGATGTCTGGCAGCAAAATGAGATTCCCAATAATCTGTTTTTGTTTGTCCAAAGCCACAGTGAGAAATAGATCAGTAGAAGTTGTTGTAGGTATTAGGGAATCTCTTACCAAGCCATTTTTTTCTATTTGCCCAGAAAATAAATGAATATGATTATGATGTTGTTGGTGACTTTATTTCAGAACCACAGCTGGAAAAAGCAAGGTTTTGGCAACATAAATCTTAATTCTTTTTGAACAGCTCCATAAATGATCAAACGTTATGCATTCATTTATTATGTTATTTTGTACACCTAATAAGAAAAACTTGATGGATCAAACTAAAGTTACAGTATCTACAGGAGGCTCACCAGCATGAGCATGGTTGCAAATGAATGCTCCATCTTGTGTTTGCCAGCCTCCTGCCTCTGATAATTGACCATGATATATAGCTAACCTGACTGGCAATAATCAACAATGGCTGTGGCCTTCATACTAGAACAGAGTCCCGCCTGCATAGGGCTTGAAATCTTCCTTCTGGATGGTCAAAATACTCCTGAGAGCCAGTGTGGCATAATGATTTGAGTACTGGATTATGCCTTTGATGAATCCCTGCTTGACCATGGTTACCCACTCGGTGATCTTGGGCCAGTCACACTCTTTCAACCTCAGAGTGAAGACACATTTGAGGAGGCAAAGGCAAACTTTCTCTAGACAAATCCTGCCAAGAAAAGCCTAAGGATCACCTTAAGACAGTGGTTCTCAAAACCTGTGGATCCCCAGGTGTTTTGGCCTACAACTCCCACAAATCCCTGCCAGTTTACCAGCTGTTAGGATTTCTGGGTGTTGAAGGCCAAAACATCTGGCCTTCTGGGTGTTGAAGGCCAAAACATCTGGGGACCCACAGGCTGAGAACCACTGCCTTAAGACATGGCACGAAGGCACACAATAACAAGCAACAAATGAGCTCCCATTGTTTTGGTCATTTTTAGTACTCCACTGATTAGGAAAGGTTTTCTTTACATTAGGTACATTTTTGGGATAAAATTGTCATTTATATGAAGTTATGAAGTCTTTGTAGATAAACCCTAGAATGAAGAGTTTCTTATGCTGTAAAGCTCCAGCATATTATTTCACATGAGATACAATATTTCAGCATTTCCTGACTACAAAATGTTGATTCTGGCCCCTTCCATACAGTTGAATAAAATCCCACATTTTATGCTTTGAACTGGAATATATGGTAGTGTGGACTCAGATAACTCAGTTCAAAGCAAATATTGTGGGATTTTCTGCCTTGATATTCTAGGTTATATGGCTATGTGGAAGGGCCCTCTGTTACAAGCCTTGTTCCAGATGCTTTGCATTTCTGTGATATGGTTGATATGTTTCAGATACAGAACCATTATCAACAGCATCTGAAATAAGAACTGATTGCCCAGGCATTAGATTTCTAAATTTCCTGTATGGAGTGGGGTGGAAGCACTTTTACGCTTCCTTTAATCTCACCCACTCAGGAAGTCACAATGTTTTGTTTCCAAGGCTGGAATTAATTGTTTAATGATTAATGTTTTGACATCCAATTCCTCCCTTTGTGGTTTCTGATTAATGGCAAAAAGCCATAAAGCATTCACAGGGCTCTCAGGTATTCAAAGATAATGTATTGCATCTCCAGGATCTATTGGTAAATTTACAGCACTTTACATAAAATGATTTACAGCAATATTGTTAACCCTTTCCTCTTTCCAACTGTTTCCCAGTATGGGGAGGGTGAAGGGTCTCATGTTGTCTGACTGGCAGACTCCCATACTTCTTATTATCTTCTAATGTGATGTAAATTTCATCACTCAATTGTGTCTTAACACATTCTTCATGAGAATCCTGGAATCAGTGAGCTCCAAATTTTACTAGTCAGAACCTTGTGTACATTTACTTTCTTGAGCCAATTTAAACAACCAGGATACTTATTTACTCAGCAATGTTATAAAATGTAGGTCAACATCAGAAGAACCTAAACAAAAAGTGGTACCATAAATTAATATATTTCAAAAACTGAGTTAATTAGACTGTTGAAGCCTGAAATCTCTTTATGCTGTTACAGATTGCATAACTTTTTAAAAAAGCTGTTGGATGTGGACTTTTTAGTCTGTCTTATTATTATCCCCTCACAGAAAAGAGTTATGTACTTGGAGAGAAACATTCAACAAAATCAGAAGGAACATTATAACAGTATCAAAAGTCATTATTCTATAAATTATTGAGAAAGTACTTAAGTTTATTAGATATTGCACAAAATTTAAAACAACAGAGTCCTTGCCTACAGATAAAAACAGTGATATAAAGTCAGTTGCATATCTAGTCTAACTTGAGAGCAGACAAGTTTGAAGACATGATTCCCAACTATTGAGATGGTTTTAAAGAGAATTGCATACATTCATGGGGATAATCTTATGGCTACTAATGATGATTTTGTACTACCTACACTATCAAGCATTTTATCATTGGCTGGACAAATGATAAAACCCAGAAGGGATATTATCCTTGGGTCCTGTTGGGGTGACTTCAGATAGTCATCTAGTTGGTCACTGTGGAAAGCAGACTGTGTTTTACTGTCTTATTTTCTTAAGAAAATATCAAAACCATTGTCGATGCCAGATTTTGCAACCTGATATAGCTGACTTTAATAAAGCACACATTTATTTGAACAGATGCAAATAGTAAGATGAATTCTAACACTAGTTTTTAACATTTTAACTTTGATTTAAATGTTAATGTAAACATTAACTAATAAGGGTCATGGTAGTACAACAGGTTAGACCTCTAGCTGCAGGAAATCTGCTGATTGGGGGGTTAGCAGTTCAAAGCCACAAGTCAGGGTGAGCTCTTGGATGTCAGCCCTAACTTCTGTCTTCCTAGCAGTTCGAAAGCATGTAATTTGAACATTTCAATAGGTACCGCCTTGGTGGGGAGCTAAAAGGGTGCCCCAATGTAGACATGCCACTAATGGCAACACGATTGAAGAAGTCTATGGACAACAGGCTCCTTAGCATGGAAAAATGGAACAAGAGGACCTCCCCATGGCTGGAGTTGAGCATCGCCTCCAGATGCCAGAAATGGAAGGGGGAAGGCCTTTACTTTTGTCTGTGTATTGTATGTCTAGTGTGTAATGTGTAAAAAGGCATTGAAAGTTTGCCTTATATATGTAAAACTGTAAGTC